CAAACTCCCGTTCGGAGCGCCGGAGCAGTTTGGCGCAATCTTTGACAGTATCACTGACAAAGAAGTCCTCACTTTCGACCACGACGTGGTCCTCAGCCTTTTCGATCGATGGCTCAGTCGCGCTCTCCTCCTTCTGCCATTCAAAGATGGCAAGACGGCTCCTTGCAAGGGCAGCAGGACAGGGGCTGGGAGGAGTCGGGGAAGGTCGTGGCCGCTTGCGGGTGTCGGGCACGAGCTGGTTCTTCGCCTTCAGAAGCTCTCGCGGCGTCTTGTTAACCTTCTTGGATTTCACCAGCTGTGAGGCGCCATGCTCGACCAGAACGTTCACAATGTCCATGTGCGAGTTACTAATGGCGTAGAAAAGGGCTGTTTCCTTCCAACAGTCCCTGAAGTTGACTTCGAATCCTAAGTTCAGCAAGAACCGCACCATGGGCAGGTTTCCACGGGAGGCTGCATAGAACAAGGGCGTCTGGTGATTCGTGTCCACCTCTGCGAGAGGTACACCCATTCGCACGGCGCGTCTGCCTAGTATTTCTGAGCCACGGCGCTGTCGTGCCGCAATGAAGAACATCACGTTCTGTTTCAGCTGGCTGTGCCGCCAGGTCACGTCGACTTTCGACAGCGCCTCTTTGGCTTCCGAGAAGTCGCCATCACGCACCGTTTCAAACAAATAATCCGGATCCATCTCGGGCAGATCTTGAGCCCGAGAGCTAGGTTTTTGCCGGCGTGCCCGCTTCTCCGCCCTAATGGCGTTCAGGGAAGGCTCGTTTCTTTGGCTTTGTGGCTGAGGACTCTGAGTTTCTGGTCTGTGACTGAGCACTGAAAACCAAGACCATGACTTCCAGGCGCGCCTCGATGGGAATGCCCGAGCCGCTCCGAGTTTTGGCCTTGGGTAGTCCAGCGCGCGCTTTGGGTACCCCGTTAAAGTCCCCGTTATACCCTCCATGACCCGACGCATGCACGTGATTAACAGACCCCCCCCTTGCGCAAGAGGGATTATTTGCTCATAATCAAGAACCTAGAGGGGTCATACTGTTCACAATCAGGAACCTACGTAAGAATGCTCATCTGTCAAGAGGTTTGCAGACGTCTGAGGCTGCTGCATCCAGCGTGGTCAGGGGCGCCGTTGCGTAGAAAGGCACACCGTGGCGTCGGCACAGCACCGCCAAAGCGTAGGTGCCGATTTTGTTACGGTGCGGTTCTTGCTGAACCTCGGACTGTTGGAAGGAGACCGCCCTTTTTTACGCCATCAATAACTCACACATGGACATCGTGAACACCACGTCCATGTGCGAGTTGTTGATCGCGTAAAACAGCGCGCTCAGCAGTCTCGGAAGTTCACCTCGAAGCCGAGGTTCAGCAAGAACCGCACCATGGGCATGATTCCACGGGATGCCGCGGGTGAAAAAGGCGAGTCAGGTGGTTGGCCGTCTGGGTCGCATGATCCGCGGTAGGTGGCTGTCACAGTGGGCCATGAGCGCCAAGTAAGCCAAGCCATCCAACGCCTCGCCTTTGGCCATAACGACGAAGGCTAGCAGGTTGCCCTGAGATCTTGCGATGCATCACGAAACCTGACTGTGCATGTGTACATACATGCATACACACATACACACATACACACACACACATGCATGTTGCTATTGCGATTGCGATTGCTTTTGCCATTGCTATTGGTATTGTCGCTGCTATCGCTGCTGCTATGGTCATTATGAATGTGCTTAGTTTTGCTCCTATTTGTTACTATATTCTGGTTCCTATTCTTACTATTCTTAGTGGCTTCCGAATGTTCTTTATGATAACTTATGATCTTTGTAGTTGTTAAACCTACGTCGCGACGTCTTCCCCGAGTTGCCTCGGAAGTACCCGGAACGCGCAAAGCCGCGGCCCAGGGCTCCGTCGTGCAGCGGCGCCCGAAAAGCTCGGTGAGGGACGCCTCGTCGGTTTTTTGGGGGTCTAGGGGTTAGGGTTTAGGGATTCTGGGTCTAGGGTTTTAGGTCTTAGGGTTGTGGGGTCTCTACGAGAGTTCTAGGAGTTAGAGGGCGGCTAAGGGAGATCGTGGATACTACGATATGCAGGTTACGAAAAGGGTCACCTGCATATGGGTTACTTTCATGGTTACCATATAACGATAACGAATAGGGCTACTACAAGGCCTATATACTGCATTAGGGTTACCAGAAGTGCTTCTTAAAAGAGTTTAGCTTTGGGTGCTCGGGGGGATGCAAGGCTTTTTCTGGGTGTCGAGGATTCGAGGTTCAGCATCCGAAAGGATGCTGCCATTCTTGCCAAAATTTCGCATGCTGGAATCATGATCTGCCGGACTTGCCACCGCAGGCCCCTCAACTTCCGATTCCAACATCGTGAACCCGGAAAACGAAAGCCTATCCAGGGATCGAAGGACACGGGCGAACGTGTATCCGCACTTGACGCCTCGCATGTGTCCGGAAGTGGCCAGTGGCACTCCAGCCACCCATGGCTCTGGAACAAAGCCATCCGAGGGGTGATGTTCGATGCTTTTCGTGTTCAGGGCACTAGTCAAATTGGGGTCCGGGTCTTTACGATTTCGGGCGATCTAGGGTATAGAACTTAGAACTGACAATCGCGAGCAGGGTCGGGGACTCGAGCGCTGTTCTCGCTATCAGCTCTTATGTACGTTTGTTCATCAACTACGACGCAGGATGTTACCAGAAGCTCTGGGGCTCTCAGCCGCGAGACACGACGATGCAACGACGCTTCTTGGAGGCTCTAAGTTGAGTCTACACGTTTTCGGATTCACCCGGCTCAGGTAAGATCGAGGCTTCAAACTACAGACTCAAGTCGGTGTAAGAGTTTAATTAGTCTCGAACACAATTACATATGCTGA